GGAAGCTAATAAATGCAACAGAACCGTATCTGCACTGTCTCATGGAGTTCCTTGGGCTGAACCTGACAAAGTGTGTAGTTGGAACTGTCCTGTATTAGCTTAATTTGCTGTCGAACTGATGTTTAGCTGCCAGTCCAATTGGGTTAAGGAGCTGGACTGGGAACACCTGAGTTTGATTCTACAGTCAACCACTGGGTGACTCGGACAGTCCCTTTCGTTACCTCAACCTATGACACAGAGTTGCTGGAGGAATAAAATAATGGGAGATAACTCCCCCTCCCCATATATTAACTTGAGTCTCAGGGGAAAAGGTAGGATATAAATACAATAAATAAAATGTCCTTTTTTTTTAGACACAAAAGATGCCAGCTAAAAGCCCTTCACTGCTTCACGCAGCCTGCATTTCCGTATATGCAAAGATTATTACAGCAAATTGCCATTTTAAACCTGGGATGACAAAGAGAAAAATACAGTAATAATTGCACTAGCATACATAGATACAGTGATAAAGAACGCCAAGACAGTAAACCAGAAACATTTATATTTACTGCAGTGAAAGGAGCAGGAGTGTACTTGGAATAGATAAAATCTAAGCTAGTTCCTGGATTTTGACTTTCTGAAGCATTAATTTAGACTCGAAATTAATGTACAAGTTTTTAATCTTCTCTGTTACTAACACACTTTGTTTATGAAAGAATCATTCTAGAAGCAGCTTCATTAACTTGTAACAGTGATAATTTGTTTTTACTGCTTCCAACAGCATAAATCCTGTTCTACATACTGAAAAAGAGGTGACACAGGCAGCCACAGATAGCATTTTTTTTTTTCCCAGCCACACTTTGGAAAAAAATTCTTTTTCTTTACTTCCATCAGAATGGTCTGATATGCTGCTACACTTGAAATAATGCCATTACTCTCCACCAGGTCAATGATCTACGAACTAAAAGTACCTCTAATATCGACTGGCATAATAAGTTGTAATGTCCTTAAAGTACCCATTGGAGATTATCAAGTGAATAATATCCTTTTTAAAGAAAGGACATAATTGTGTGTTTACAAGGCAGCAGAGCTTGTTGGTTGCTTCCGTTTGTGCCCTTAGAACTGTATTCCACTAATCCACTACACTGACAGACACTGATTAGCTGTGCAATGTGCTTATCAGTGGCAACTGCATGAGTGAGCCAATCAGCCCATATATTCTTTTTAGAAATACAAAAGAGGTAAGGAGAGTAGGTAAATCTGTTGTTGATTACAAAGTACAACGTCTGTGTGCTTCCCCATGCAGAACTCATGTTCTCCCTGTGATAAAGTCTCTTCCCTATACCATGTGCTAAAAAGGGCAAAATAAAAAATAAAACAAAACCTCTTTTTGCCTAAAAGGAAGGCAAGATTTTTCCACAGTTTGTCTAGTGAGAGAGTTGTTTACAATGCAGAAAATCAGCACTGGAAACTGATTTTATTCCCCTTTGTTGGGGGAGGAGAGGTAACTTCTTAAATTCAGATTCCACTGTTTTCCTTAAGGATACATGTGGTGTGTTATGGTTGTTGCATATCTAAAGTGGTCTTCCCCAAATTGGTATCCTCCAGTTGTGCTGGGACATAGCTGTTGGAGATGGTGACTGAGAATCCTGGGAATTTTAGTCCCCCAAACACTAAAGGTGCCCCAGGTTGTCAGTTGCTGACCTAAAGTTTAAATCATGCTCATCAAGTAATTGATACAATATTTATCACTACATGAAATTATAAGACACCTAAAAAAACCTGACTTTCTGTGATGTCCATGATCTGCTAATTGAAGAGACTGCTATCTGACAACTTTCAAGTAATACAATACAATTCTCTTTTCTCAGATCTGTGGATTATTTCACAACACTGTATTTGTTGCTTTTTCATTTGTTGTGAGCAGTTGCTATACAGATTCAAACATGTTATGTTCTAAAGCTATGTAAAGATCAATGGAAAACTTGTCTGTTTTGTCAGATATTGAGTGAAAAAAGTAAAGCCCTTTGTTATCATTGGAGATAACTTTATAGCTGCAAAAAACTGGTGGTTGAGACTCCAAAGAATTAGAAAAATAAAACTTCTAAGAATGTAGACCTGTAGTGGCAAGTTCAGAATAAGTTTCTGTAAATACCAGCTTGTGTTTGAAAGCCTCCAAACAACAGTGAGATTCTGCTCACTGTTTATGGCATAAATTAAAATCAACCCAAACTTTTTTTTAAAAAAAATAGGCAGTTCAATCACACCTTACTTATATTTACTTTTCTCAGAGAATTCATCAAGAGTTCTTCCATTAATTTTCACTGAAATAAGTTCAATTATTTAAAAATAAAAGTCAGTTCATGTACAGAAGTCTTGCTATTAAAATATTGGTCCAGAGTATCTTAATAGTTCCCTAGTTTGGTCTCCTCAAGATGTGTTGGACATATTGTCCCTTCCCAGCATGCCATTCATGACAATGGCTGAGAAGGACACATCTCTAGGGCCTCAAGTTAGCTGTCTACAGAATCTCTTGAAATAGAAGATGCAATTGTATATCTGAGTTGATCTATC